CCCTCCTTAATATGGGACTTCTTGTTGGTAAAAGGATCAGAATTACTAATTGACTTGAACTCATCAGGATCCATCCTTGGAGACAAAGCTAGGTTTAGTCTTGACAAAACCTGTAAGGGTGACTGAGAGCAGAATGGTTTTCCAGAACATATTTGGGGGCTTTTCTAAGAAGGGGGAATTAATAATAGAAAACCATAGATGTGTACTAAAAAAAATGTTTAACTGTTACCACTATTTGGATTTTATTCAAAGAATATATGCTTGTGGTCCGGGAGGTACAGGTATTTGTGAATGCTGAAAAGTTCCTCAGGTGGTTCTGTTGCTCAGCTTTCGTTCAGAACCACTGATAATAGGATAGCACTTTGATGTAGTGACCTGGAGAGTCTCACATTATGCTACCTTTGTTTCTGCCTCTAGAGGGCACTATTTTTTTTAACAAGGAAAGGAAGAATGAGCTGTTTTGTAAGCTGAATCTTTAAATTTTATTGAAGTTGCTATGTTCCTACTGCCTAGGGGAGAGGCCATAAAGGTACACAATGTGTCAGTTCGTGCTGGGTCAAGGGCACATTCATTTCCCAATTGTATTTGTCTGGGTCATAAAATGATCAGAACTTCTAGTTCTTAGAAAAGTTATTTCAAATGTCTTTAAAACATATTTCTGTCCAGAAGTGCTGTCTGAATATTTTTTCCACCCAGCACAGCCACTACATTCTTGACTTAATTTCTTTGCTTGCTATTATAATCTGTGAAAAGTATTAATAAACTTAAACTATATTCCTCTCTCAGTTGGAAAAGGTCAATTATAGTCTAGATTAAATTGAAACATATACATGAGGAAAAAAAAAAAGTCTTGAGAAAAGTTTGTTTTCCATAGACATTTTATAGGAAAAGTGGAACTTCCTCTTGGTGTCACCTCAGAAAATTGGGCTACTCACCAAAGTTCTTCATAACAGCAATGACAAAAATGAAGAATTTGCATATTTTCTTCTTCATTTTTGCTTAGTTTCTTTAAAAAAAAATTAGTCTAATCTGAGTCACCTTTTCATTGAACAGAAAATTAGGGAAACATAGAATTTGAGTGATTTATCATTATCATTTTTATAATTTTTCTTCTTCAGATTAAAGCTTTTGTTTTCACTCATGACTTCAAAATGTCCAGTATTTGGTTATTCAGCTTTGACTTAATGTTTTAATTGTTCATGTGGCTTTTAAAAATGTTAAGAGAGGGGCTGGAGAGATGGCTCAGTGATTAAGAGCACTGGTTGTTCTTACAGAGACCCAGGTTCAAATCCCAGCACCCACATGGCAGCTAACAACTGTCCTAACTCCAGTCCCAAGGGATCCGACAGCCTCTTTTGTCCTCCACGGGGCATTGCACCACACGGTGCACTTACCTACATGCAGGCAATACATGCATACACATAAAATAAAAATAATAAATAAAATTTAAAAAACGTTAAGACAATGTGAACTAATACTTTCTTTGCTTTATTATAATAAAACTCTGTGTAAAAAATGGATTTAAGGGCTGGGCATGGTGGTGCATACCTTTAATCCCAGCATTTGGGAGGCAGAGGCAGGCAGATCTGTGTGAGTTCCAGACCAGCCTGGTCTACATAGCAAGTTCTAGACCAAAAAAAAAAAAAAAAAGGAATGAAGAAGTATATTGGTTTCGTGTTTGTTTGTTTGTTTTCAGAGCTGAGGACCGAACCCAGGGCCTTGCACTTGCTAGGCAAGCGCTCTACCACTGAGCTAAATCCCCAACCCCAGAAGTGTAGTGTTTTAAAGTTAGATTTAAATTAGTCTCTTAAAGCCATTTTTTTGTATTTTATTTATTATTTTTATTTTATGTGTATGCATGTATTGCCTGCAGTAGGTAAGTGCACCCATGTTGTGCAGTGTCTATGGAGAACAAAAGAGGCTGTCAGGTCCCCTAGAACTGGAGTTACACAGTTGTTAGGTGCCGTGTGGGTGCTGGGATTCAAACCTGGATCTTCTGCAAGAACAGTCAGTGTTCTTAACCACTGAGCCATCTCTCTAGCCCCTCTTAAAGCCATTTTATAAAGATTAATGATTAAGTCAAATACTTTACCTTTGTAAATTTGGAGGAGAGGAGTTTCCTGAAACTGGCTTTTAAATTTTTGTGGCTGAAGGTATAGCTCAGTGGTAGAGCATGTGCATCTCATGTACAAGAATAAGAAATAAAACTTTTCTGGGTATATCTTTCTCTCTTGGCCTATATTAGGGGCAGCCTAGAAAATCAAGAACAGTTATAAATAGAAGACTGAGTACAAGTAGGACTAGAGTAGAAGTCAAGAATAATCAGTCTGTCAGTTATCTTCCCCTGGGTGGAGTGTTTGTGAGAAGAGTATTCAGTCCTGAGCTTTAGGCTTCTTACCAGGCTGCCCTCTAAAAGTGCTGGCTACCTTCATTTCTGTAATGACCTGTATTAACCTGCTTAGATTCAGTAAAGGTAGCAGAGACTGACTATGAGCAAAAAAATGCAAAGTGACAAACCTTTTTATATTGCTTGGAGAAATGGACTTACAAAGGGCTATCATTAAGGTGTACTATGATGTAGTTCTGTAGGTCTTAACCACTCCCTAATTTAGTTGGGAAGAGGGGTATGTATTACTGTTATTGTTAATACTTACTAAATATGACCCTTTGTGCATTTTAAAAGTCATTTTATAATTGTTAAATACACATTTTTTTCTGTCTTACAAATGACTTAGTAAGTTTAACATGGGCAATTTGGAAGACTTGATATTCCAGTATATTAATGATTTCTGTGCACTTCATCTAATAAACATTTATTGGGCATTACTAGGTACCTAACACTATTTTTTGAGCTCAAGGTGCCAAGTCCTGTTAGGTACTTTGAGTTAATTATGCAAACTTATTTAATGCCCTGTAAGATAGATGCTTATTTCATAGGTTAAAAAAATAAAACAAAAGGTCTACAAAAGTTAATTTGCCCAAGAAGTAAAAAATAAGTGAAATAGTAAAAATCAAACTCCTTTCCATGTTCTCAAATCCTTTTCCATTTTTTTCTATTAAGTAAATTAAAGTATTGGTCCATGTTCTTTATGGGTTATTTATTCACTATTCTTATTAGTAAGGATGTTAAATTTTTAAGTGACCACAAACTTCTTGGCATTTCTCTCATTGATTGCATAGTGGGGATGTATGAACTAGTTGAGTCAAAAGAGTACAGTGGAGGTAGTGTAAGACTTCTGAGGCTAGGACATAGAAGGCAGTGTAGCTTCCACTTCATTCCAGGCGTGCCAGTCTCAAAACCTGTGCTGCAGCTGAAGTAAACACTTCTTCCTAGGTTCCTGTTTTTCTGTATCAGCTAGCTAGTGCTTGGTATGATGGTGCATGCCTTTAATCCTAACACTTGGGAAGCACAGGCAGAGGCAGGCGGATCTTTGTAAGTTCAAGGCCAGCCTGGTCTACATAGGAGTACCAGACCAGCCAGGGCTCTATAGTGAGACCCTGTCTCAAAAAAAAAAAAAAAAAAAATCCATATCATCAAGAAACCTGTGAAACTTTGGTTCCAGCACACGTGATCTTTCCTATTTTCCTGTACTTCTAACTGTACATATACTGAATACTAATCAGTTCATATTTATTCATTCTGTAATTATTTTATATGTGACACTTTGTATGTCAGCTAGATTATAAACATCTTTAAGATATTTATTTAACAACTACTTGTCTACTGTGTATGTACCGAATGCCAAGTATTGTTCTAGGTATGTGGGGATAAGTTAGTGAGCGAAACAGACACAAACTTCCTCCAGTAGCAGAGCTTACATCTTGGTGGCTTTTTAAAAAAACTCAGAGTGCTGAATATATAGTGACTGATGTAGTGTTATTGATAAACAATGGTGTTTAAGTCATCTACTTTAAGATTTCTTGGAATTTTTATTACTTTAGAACTTTTAAGAGAGAAGGGAAAATAGGGTAAGTTACTATAAGTAACTAAATCAGAACTCATTTGGCTTTTATATTTAGAAGTACTTTATTACACTTTCAGCTAATAAATAGTGTTTATTTTTACTTTCTTCTTTAGTTGATAAGAGGCACTATTGAAATTTTTTATTGTTTATGTCAAATTTTTATTAGACCTCTGAATAGGAAGAGAAGAAAAATCCTTCTTGGAATTGTTGTTCCAATACTACTGCGAAAGCAAGCAGAGAGTTGGAAAAATGTCTCCCAGTGGTTGGCTTTCCTCACTCAGTTGGGTGTAGCAATGAGTATAGGTGGTTAGGGTGAAAGTGGCCAAAGACAGTGATGATTCACATTTGCCTTATATTTTATCCCTTTGAAAGATTTTTAAGGCACACACAAAAAGCCTGATAAGGATTCCTGATTATATATTTTTTTCATACTTATTTGGTGTGTGTGTGTGTGTGTGTGTGTGTGTGTGTGTGCATGTCATACACATGCATGCCACAGTATATGTGTGGAAGTTAGAGAACAACTTATAGAAGTCAGGGCTTCTTTTCCAACATGTAGGTTCTGGGGATAGGACTCAAGTTATCAGGCTTAGCAACAAGCATCTTTATCTTCTGAGTCATCTCAGTGGCCTCTGATTATATGTGGATATATTTTTACTTTTATTTTTAACATACTTTATTTATTATTTTATTTTTATGTGTATGAGTGTTATGCCTGCATGTAAGTAAGTGTACCTGTGTTGTGAAATGCCCACGGAGGACAGAAGAGGCTGTCAGATCCCCTGGAACTGGAGTTACAGACAGTTGTTAGCTGCCATGTGGGTGCTGCAAATTGAACCCGGGTTTCTTTCTTGGGAAAGAAAGAAGAAAGATGTGATGTCCAGTCAGATAAACTTTGTAGTGCCTGCAAAAACATAACACCTTTTCTGGATTTTGGTAAATTACTGCAATATTAAACTAAAGAAAAACACAAAAATAAAATTCAAACTTGCTTCTGTGATTGTTTCTTACTGCTGTTATTTTGTCCTCTGTTAGGATGCTCGACATGCAGCAGAAGGAGAAATATATACCAAACTTAATCAAAAAATTGATGAATTTGTTCAGCTGGCTGATTATGACTGGACAATGGCTGAATCAGATGGAAGAGCTAGTGGTTATTTAATGGATCTTATTAATTTTTTGAGAAGCATCTTCCAAGTGTTTACTCATTTGCCCGTAAGTATAAACAATTTCAAAATTTTTAAGTTTTCTTTTTAAAACGTATTTTAGAATTTAACTTTTGTTTGATGCTTCCTTGCTTAGAACAACCTTCTAGCTTGCATGCTTATTTTCCAATTATTATGAATGGGAAATCAATTTATAAAGAATCTAGCCAAAGTTGATTCAAGTTTTAATTTGTTTTACTTAACCAAAATAGCTATAACTCTTTCCATTAAAATCAAAACAAACCCTAAAACTGACAATGTAAGTAAAGAGGAAAAAACTCTAAAGTAATTTGTATGGCAGTCAACATAATCTACAGCTTCTCTAGTTAAAAAGATCCAAGAAATTATTGAAGTTTTAAAAAACTTTTTGGTCTTTTTGATGCAGAGTCTACCTATAGCCTATGAGCTATGAGCTGGCCTGGAACTCACTGTGTAGACCAGGCTGGTCCTGACCTCACAGAAGTTTGCCTGTCTCTGCCTCCCAAGTGGTGGAATTAAAGGTGTGCATCACCACACCCGGCTTGAATGCTTTTAGATAAGAGATCAAAAAGTAAAACAAGAGCATTGGTCTTTTCTAGTACATGTTCATAAAACATCCACATCTTGAATCTCCATTGAGATATCTCTCTCTCTCTCTCTCTCTCTCTCTCTCTCTCTCTCTCTCTCTCTCACACACACACACACACACACACACACACACATATGAGATGCTGCAAGAACATTTGGGTGAGGGCAGATTGGAACACTAGATTTTTTCGGTTTAGGACTGCAGAGGCCAATGGGTGGGGAGAATGCTCTTATTAAGTTTACCATGTAGTCTACTTTCTTGCCTTATTTTATTTTAAATCTGTCTTATTCATGTAAGAAAAACTATGTAATACTTGTCTTTCTATCTCTGGCTGATTTTTACTTAATATGATGATTTCTAGTTCTATTCATTTTCCTACACATGATTATAATTTAATTCTTTATGGCAGAATAATGCTCTGTAGTATATAAGTACCATGTTTTCTTGATCCATTCATCTGTTGCTGGACACCTAGGCTGATTCTTTGACTATTGTGCTAGTACCACAAGGAACTCAAGTGGACAGGTGTCTCTGTTTCATCCTGACTTTGATTCCTTCGGGCATATACCCAAGAGTGGTAGAGCAGGCTCATATGGTATCTCTAATTTTAGCTTATTGAGAAACCTTCATACTGATTTCCATAGTAGATTCACTAATTTACATTCCCACCAACAGTGTATCAGATGGTTCCTTTCCTCCCATACCCTACATTCGCACCAGCATTTGTTGTTTTCTTGATGATTGCAGTTCTGACCAGGGTGAGATTAAATCTTTGTAGTTTTGATTTGCACTTCCCTGGTTGTTAAGCATGTTAAACATGTTTTTGTGTATTTATTGACAATTTGTAGTTATTCTTTGAGAACTGTGTTCAGTTCATCTGGTCATCTAGTGAATGAATTGTTTGTTGGGAAGTGTAATTTTTTGAGTGCTGTAAATATTTGGGATGCCTATTTTTGTCAGATGAGTGACTAGCAAAGATTTTCTCATTTTAGGCTTTCTCTCCACTGTCGTCTTTCCTTTTCTGTACAGAAGTTTTAAAATTTCATCCAATCTCGTTTGTCAAATGTTGCTGTTATTTCCTGGGCTTGCAGTCCTATTTAGAAAGTCATTGCCTATGTCTGTATCCTAAACTGTTTTCCTGCAATAGTTTCAGAGTTTCAAGTCTTATATTAAAGACTTTCATTCATTTTGAATAATTTTTGATAAGGAGAGAAGGATCTAGTTTTATTCCTTCTATATGTGCACCTCCAGTTTTTGCAGCACCAGAGACTATCTTTTCTATAACATATGTTTTTAATGCCTTTGTTGAGAATCAAGTATTTATAGCTTCATGTTTGTTTCCGAGTCTATTCTATTTTATTGGTCTTTATGCCTATTTTCTATGCCTATTTCTGTGCTAGTAGCATGTTGTTTAGTTCCTGTGACTCTGTAGTATGATTTGAAACCAGGTATTCTGGTAATGCTATTTTTGCTCAGTTTTGCTTTTTGCTATCTAGGGACCTTTATACTTCCATAAGAATTTTAGGATTGTTTTTTCTAGTTTTGTGAAAAATGCTGAATTTTGATAGGGATTGCATTGAATCTGTAGATTACTTTTGATAAAATAGCCAAGTCCGCAGTATCAGTTCTAGTCATTCATGAATACAGAGGTCCTTCTGTCATCTAGTATTTATTTCTATTTCTGTTTTTGGTGCTTTAAAGTTGTATTTTAAAGGCCTTTCTCCTGCTTGGCCTTAGGATTTTCCTCTTTTTTTTTTTTGTGAGGCCATTATATATTGGATTGTGTTCTTCATTAGCATATTTGTTGCTGGCCTATAAAATGACTGAGTTTTATGCGTTGATTTTGTATCCTTCTACTTGGCTAAATGTGTTGATCAGATCTAAGAGTTTTCTGATGAAGCTATTAGGCTTTTAAATTTCTTTTCATATCATCTGCAAATAGGGATAACGGTTTTGTCTTTTCCTATTTGTATGTCTTTTATTTATTTATTTTGCCTTATTGCTCTAGATAAGAATTCAGACCCTTTCTACTCTTAAGTGGAAAGTACAAACATCCTTTTCTCATTCTTGATTTTAGGAAAGACACTTTCATTTCTCCAACTTTGAGTATACTATTTGGTTGTAGATATGTCATTTAGCCTC